ATGCAGTATTATGTGATAATGACAGATCTTCATCTGCTGGTTCACTCCCCACATGGCCACAACAGCCGAGGCTGTGCCAGGCCGAAGCCAGGAGCCCAGTGCTTCTTCCTGGTTTCTCATGTGGATGAAGGGTCCAAGCACCTGGGCCATCTTCCAACGCCTTCCCAGGTGCATTCACAGTGTGCTGGATTTTAAGTGGAGCAGGCAGGTCTCAAACTGGCACTTACATGGGATGCTGGTATCTTGGACAACTACTTAACCTGCTATGCCATGATGCTGGCCCCTAAGTAGCGTCTTAACTCCTAGGAAATATACCTGCCCTATTATGTGATCATTGCACAGGACAATGAGAACTTATCGCAAAACCTGGTATATGAGTGTGAAAACATTTAGTGACAGGAATATGAGGAAGTAGATGGAGAGTAACATTGAAATTCTGAAAAGGCCATCTTTTGAGGGCATCAGAGGTCAGTGATATAAGTTTTAAGCTTTCTTTAGCTTTACAATACTTGTCTTCATTTTGTTTGATGTGAGTTATATTACAAAGTAGTTTCTTACTTAGATATAGGGAGAATGAACGAAAGGACATTTTCCTGGACAGAAAGTTGGAAAACATGAATGTAGAAAGAGGATTGAAGTGGCTGTGAGTGCGTGTGGGATTGTTTTGAATTGTTAGTAGCTTAGTGTAGAAAGAAATTGGGGCCAGCGCCGCAGCTCACTAGGCTAATCCTCTGCCTTGCGGCGTTGGCACACCGGGTTCTAGTCCCAGTTGGGGCGCTGGATTCTGTCCCGGTTGCCCCTCTTCCAGGCCAGCTCTCTGCTGTGGCCCGGGAGTGCAGTGGAGGATGACCCAGGTACTTGGGCCCTGCACCCCATGGGAGACCAGGATAAGTACCTGGCTCCTGCCATTGGATCAGCGTGGTGCGCCGGCCGCAGCGGCCATTGAAGGGTGAACCAACGGCAAAGGAAGACCTTTCTCTCTCTCACTGTCCACAATGCCTGTCAAAAAAAAAAAAAAAAAAGGAAAGAAATTGGGAATCCATTTCCTCTTTGGATTGCTCATGAAGAGTTATGTAGCTGCATACTCATGAGATGGTGACATTAGCTTCTCTGCTACTTCAAAAGCTGTGGGGAGGGGCTGCTACTGTGCAGCTTCCACTCTTTCAAGTAAGTAATTTTTTTAAAAATGCATTCACACACCTGATCCTTACCACAGCCTTTTAACATTTTCTTTATTTGTTTATTTGAAAGGCAGAGTGACAGAGTAGTGGGGGACAGACAGAAATTTTTTATAAATATTGATTTTTATTTATTTGAAAGAGAGAGAGAGAGAGAGAAAGAGTTCTTCTGTCTGCTGGTTCACTCCCCAGATGGCTGCAATGGCTGGAGCTGAGCCAGTCTGAAGCCAGGAGTCAGGAGCTTCTCTGGGTCTCCCACGTGGGTGTAGGAGCCCAAGGATTTGGGCTATTTTCTACTGCTTTCCCAGGCCATAGCAGAGAGCTGGAGCAGAAGAGGACCAGCCATGACTAGAACCAGCACCCTTATGGGATGCCAGTGCTTCAGGCTAGGGCTTTAACCCGCTGCACCACAGCGCTGCCACAAGACAGAAATCTTTCATCCATTAGTTTTCTCCCCAAATGGCCATAACAGCTGAGCCAGGCTGAAGCTACATGTGTGGCAGGGGCCCAAATACCATGGGCCATCTGCTGCTTTCCCAGGTGCATTAGGGAGGAGCTGGATCTGAAGTAGAGCCACCAGGACTTGAACCAGCACTAATATGGCATGCCAGCCACATGGCTAGTAGTGGCTTAAACCAAGTACCACAGTGCCAACCTCTTGTGGGTGCGTTTACTAGCATTTAGAAAATTTAAGCTCTGTATGACTGAAAGGTAGTACTGTTACTCCTATTTTATGTTACAGACATATATTCAGAACAGATGCTTTATGTCCTGTAAAATGCATTTTAAGTTAAAAATACATGCAATATTTTTAGCCTATTGAATATTAGTTTGGCCCATCCTACCTTAAATAGATTTAGAAAACTTGTATTAGCTTGTAGTTAGGCAAAATCATGTAACACAAAGCCTATTTTATCAAGTATTAGGTATTTCATGATTACATGAAATAACATATCTAAAAATAGAATCAGCTGTCCATATCCTTCTCCCTTCCCATTGTGTGGTTACCATTGCCCAGATCAAAGGGTCGTGTTGCATACTAACCTAGAAAGGGATCCAAGTTCAGAATGTAGGTCCTACTGAATTTGTATCCCTTTCACATCATTGTGAATTCAAAAATCATGGTAAATTGGGGACTGTATCATTGCTTTCTGAATGAATACCTTATTGAACTTCAACACTTGGTATTTTTCTTCTCAGTATTCTTATTTTCCTCATTTATATCATGTGGTCAGTAATGTTTTGTTTCTTCAACTAGAAGCTCTTGAAACTTGGCAAGTACGGTGCATTCTCTCATTTCCTTGTCTTTGTGTGTATTGTAGCACACGTCACATGGAGATGGGCGTCAAGAAGTTACCTCTCGCACTGGGCGCACTGGAGCTCGGTGTAGAAACTCCATAGCTTCCTGTGCAGATGAACAACCTCATATCGGAAACTACAGACTGTTGAAAACAATCGGCAAGGGAAATTTTGCAAAAGTGAAATTGGCAAGACATATCCTTACAGGCAGAGAGGTAAATATGAGTTAATGTTTTTTTCTGTTACAACATTGTACAGTTTATTTCCATGTAAGAGAAAGAAGAGGAGAGAATATATGTATATATATTTAGACTTACTTCTGAGCTAATTAAACTCTTTTTTAAATAAACTTCTCTTTTTAAGATTTATTTATTTGAGAGATAGAGTTAAAGACAGAGGGAGAGACAGAGAGAAAGGTCCTCCATCTGCTGGTTCACTCCCCAGATGGCTGCAGTGGCCAGAGTTGGGCCGATCCAAAGCCAGGAGCCAGGAGCTTCTGGGTCTCCCAAGTGCAGGATCCCAAGCACTTGGGCCATCTTCTACTGCTTTCCCAGGCATATTAGCAGGGAGCTGGATTGGAAGTGGAGCAACTGGGGCTTGAACTGGTGCAAATATGAGGTGCTGGCACTGCAGGTGACGACTTTATCCACTCCGCTACAGTTCTGGCCCTAAACTTTTTTTTAAAAAGAATATGAAGTGTGCCAGTGTTGTGGCATAGCTGGTAAAGCCAATGCTTTATTACATTTGGGTTTCATGTATTGGTGAGAACAGTTTATTTTGTTTCAGGATTTAAAAAACATTCTAGGGGCCAGCACTGTGGCGTAGTGGGTAAAGCCACTGCCCGCCATGCTGGCATCCCATATGGATGCCAGTTTGTGTGCTGGCTGTTCCACTTTCAGCTATGGCCTGGGAAAGCAGCAGAGGATGGCCCAAGTCCTTAGGTCCCTGAACCCACATTGGAGACCTGGAAGAGGTTCCTGGCTCCTGGCTTTGGATCGGTGGCCAACTGGAGAAGGAACCAGCCAATGGAAGATACCTCCCCTCCCCTGCTGCTGCCTCTGCCTCCCTGTAGCTCTACCTTTCAGATAAATAAATAGATCTTTGAAAAAAAAAAAGTTCTAAAAAAATTCTATATTTCCTGCTAATGCTCCTATGACTCACATTTGAATATTTAATTCATTTGGTGGATATATCAGGGGATTATCATGAGGTTTAGGGATCTGACTTAATTTTTTTAAAAATTTACTCATTTGAAAGGCAGAGTTACAGAGAGAAGGGGAAGGAGACAACAGCCAGGGCTAGACCAGCCCAAAACCAGGAGCCAGGAACTTCTTCTGGGTCTCCCATGTGGGTGCATGAGCCCAAGCACTTGGACCATCTTCTGCTGCTTTCCCAAGCACATTTTAGCAGGGTGCTAATTGGAAGTGAAGGAGCTGGGATACCAGCCGGCACCTGTATGGGATGCCTGTGTTGCAGGTAGCAGTTTAACCTGCTGTGCCTCAATGCTGGCCCCCAACTTAGTTTTTCACATGGATTACAGCTTGTGCTGGAACCAACAATCTGTCCTTGCTCCACTGACTGCTTTGTTCTTACTAAATTCCTGCATATATTCTTTGGTTTCTCTGGCCTGTTTATTTAGTCTTAGACACATACTGGAATGGTTTGCAGCATTTGTTCATTTTGATATTTTTGAATAGGTTATGTCCCCTGCTGATCATTCTTATTTTTCAAAAGTTTCATAGTTCTTTCTGCCATTTACACATCTAGGGTGAAATTTAGTATCAAATTGCCATGTTCTGAAAAACAGTCTCACTGGAATTTTTATGAAATTAATTGGGTTTATAAATTAATTTGGGGAGAAAGTCTGATATTTTAATAGTACCAAGTGATTTCTATCCAGGAAAATGAAATTTTGTTCTCAGGATTTGTAACTCTCTTCATGTAGGTTTTGTATGATTCTAGTTAAATTTGTTCTAAGGGTTTTTTTATAACTTAAAAAAAAATTATTAGAGGCTCCTGTGTGCTCCTGTCAACTGATTCATTCCGCAAATACCACGTGCAGCAGGGCCTGTAGTGAGGGGCCTGGCAACTCAGTCCCACTCTCCCAGGTGGGTGGTAGGAATGCAGTTACTTGAGTCATCACCTCTTTCTTCCAGGATTGCGATAGCAAGAAGCTGGAGTCAGGAACCAGAGCCAGACCCAACCATTCTGATATAGGATGCAGACTTCTTAGCCACCAGACCAGAGACCACCCCCCGATGTTTTGTAATTTTTGTTGCTACATGAATGTGGTCCATGTTCCCCGCTGCCACCCCCAAGTTACGTGAATATTTAGGAAGGCTATAATAGTTTTGGTTTCAAAAATGATTTATTTATTGGGGCCGGTGCTATGGCATAGCGAATTAAGTCGCTGCCTGCAGTACTGGCATTGCATATGGGCGCCAGTTTGAGACCCGGCTGCTCCATTTCCAATCCAGCTCTCTGCTATGGCCTGGGAAAGCAGTAGAAGATGGCCCAAATCCTTGGGCCCCTGCACCCACGTGGGAGACCCGGAAGAGGCTCCTGGTTTTGGATCAGCACAACTCCAGACCGTTGCAGCCAATGGGAGTGAACCAATGGATGGAAGACTCTCCCTCCCTCCCTCCCTCTTTCTCTCTCTCTCTGTGCCTCTTCTCCTCTCTCTGTGTAACTCTGACTTTCAAATAAATAAATAAATCTTTTAAAAATATTTACTTATTTTATTTGAAAGACAGATTTACAGAGGGGGCAAGACAAAGAGATCTTCCATCCACTGGTTCACTCCCAACATGGCTACAACAGCCAGGACTGGGCCAGGCTTCTTGAAGCCAGGAGTCAGAGACTCCATCCAGGTCTCCACTGTGGCCACACAAGCACCTGTGCAATCTTCCACTGTTTTCCCAGGTACATTTGCAAGGAGATGGATCCAGAGGGGAGCAGCTAGGACTCAAACAGGCACTCATGATGGATTCAAGCCTGACAGATGGTAGCACAATCTGCTGTACCACAAGCTTTCTTGTGGACATAAATTTTAATTTCTCAAAGATACTTAACCAAGGAGTAATATTGCTGGGTCATACTGATAAAAAAATTAAGGAAATCATTACTCAAAAGTTGGTTTTAATATAGGTTTATTACAGGTTTAGTAACATGTTTGCACTAGAAAGAACTCTAAAATCTCTGTATTCTATTAGCGTATTTAAAAAATTTTTTGGTTATTTATTTGAACCAAATGAGGATCCTGGAACTCGACCTGAGTTTCCCACCTAGTGGTAGGGACCCAAGGGATTTGAGCCATCACTGCTGTCTGGCTCCCAGGGTGCACGTTAGCAGGAAGCTGAAATGGAAAGAGGAGTCGTGGCTGCAGTGCAGACACTGAATGGGGCCTGCCTGTCCCTTTCTCAGATCATTAAAAGCTGACGCCTGAGTTCCTGTGAGCGTTCCTTTGTCCGTGATGGCAGTGTAGTATATCTTGCCTATTGTGTTAACTAGAGCCTTCAAGGAAACCCACAGGGTTGCTGGAAGTGCTGCTGTTTTATATTCAGAGACTTAATTGTTTTTACCAAGTCAGTATGCAATTAAAGGTTACTTTGTATTAAGAGACAGTTTTAAGTGTTACTCTTGAGGTGATAACAGATTGTAGAATTATATACTGGAAAGAATTTTCTAAAATAGGGAGTGTCATGTACTTAATTCACAACAATGTGAACACAAATGACCCTTTAAAAAAACTATGCAATCATTGGAAGAAAGGCATTTTTATTTTATTTATTTTTTTAAAGATTTATTTATTTCTTTGAAAGTCAGAGTTACTCAGAGAGAGGCGAGGTCTTTCATCCAATGGTTCACTCCCCAATTGGCCACAACGACTGGAGCTGCACCGATCCAAAACCGGGAGCCAGGAGCTTCTTCTGGGTCTCCCACATGAGTGCAGGGACCCAAGGTCTTAAGCCATTTTCCACTGCTTTCCCAGGCCATAGCAGAGAGCTGGATTGGATGTGGAGCAGGCAGGTCTTGAACCTGTGCCTAAATGGGATGCCAGCACCTCAGGCCAGAGCATTAACCCCCTATGCCACAGGGCAGGCCCCGGCATTTTTATTTTAAAGGCATGTTAGAATAATGAAGTATAATCATAGTATAAAATATGTACATTCTGAAAGCATTTTCAAATCAATTCTTTAAATAAAATGGTTGTGATGTAAGTTCAATTTAGATGAGACCCCTTTCTCTAGGGAGCTGGATTGGAAGTGGAGCAACTGGGACTTGAACTGGTGCTCTGATATGGAATGCCAGTGGAAGCTTAGCTCACTTTGCCACAATGCCAGCCTCTAGGATGGTCCTTAATCTAATTTTTGGGGCCGGCGCTGTGGCACAGTGGGCTAAAGCCCCAGCCTGAAGCGCTGGCGTCTCATATGGGTGCCGGTTCGAGTCCCGGCTACTCCTCTTCCAATCCGGCTCTCTGCTGTAACCTGGGAAAGCAGTAGAAGATGGCCCTTGTCCAAAAAAAAAAAAAAGATGGCCCAAGTCCTTGTGCTCCTGTACCCATGTGGGAGACCCAGAAGAAGCTCCTGGCTCCTGGCTTCAGATTGGCGTACCACTGGCCGTTGTGGTCAATTGGGGAGTGAACCAGCGGATGGAAGACTCTCTTTCTCTGACTCTACCTCTGTCTGTAACTGTCTTTCAAATAAATAAAATAATTATTTTAAAAAACCTTTAATTTTTAGACTGTGAGCCAATCAGAAATGGACATCAAAATCTTAGTTTTGTATTCTTTAGGTTATTTATTTATGCCATCTTCTGCCATAAGCAGAGATGGAAGATCAGTATAATGGTCAGCATTTGACACAAGTGAGGAAGGTGAGCTTAAGGTCCCATATACTCGGCCGGCGCCGCAGCTCACTAGGCTAATCCTCTGCCTTGTGGCATTGGCACATCGGGTTCTAGTCCCGGTCGGAGCGCCGGATTCTGTCCCAGTTGCCCCTCTTCCAGGCCAGCTCTTTGCTGTGGCCAGGGAGTGCAGTGGAGGATGGCCCAAGTACTTGGACCCTGCACCCCATGGGAGACCAGGATAAGCACCTGGCTCCTGCCATCGGATCAGCGCGGTGTGCCAGCCGCAGCATGCCGGCCGCAGCGGCCATTGGAGGGTGAACCAATGGCAAAGGGGAGACCTTTCTTTCTTTCTTTCTTTCTTTCTTTCTTTTTTTTTTTTTTTTTTTGACAGGCAGAGTGGACAGTGAGAGAGAGAGACAGAGAGAAAGGTCTTCCTTTGCCATTGGTTCACCCTCCAATGGCCGCCGCAGCTGGCGCACTGTGGCCGGCATACCGCGCTAATCCGATGGCAGGAGCCAGGTACTTCTGGTCTCCCATGGGGTGCAGGGCCCAAGCACTTGGGCCATCCTCCACTGCACTCCCGGGCCACAGCAGAGAGCTGGCCTGGAAGAGGGGCAACCGGGACAGAATCTGGCGCCCCGACCGGGACTAGAACCCGATGTGCCAACGCCACAAGGCAGAGGATTAGCCTAGTGAGCCACGGCGCCGGCCAAGGAAGACCTTTCTCTCTGTCTCTCTCTCTCACTGTCCACTCTGCCTGTCAAAAAAAAAGGGGGAGGGGGTCCCATATACTTTTCTGATCCAATTGTAGATTGGTGGTCCAAACCAGTGCTATGGTCCCCGGTGCAGGACTAAGGGTCCAGGTTCTCTTTATTCATCTTCATAGCCAGTTGGAAGTGGATTCACATGAGGGTTATGGAATAGAGTATGATTCCCATCTCTCTGTGGAAAGGGCTTGGACCTGACTCGAAGATGAGGGTAGGTGATGAACTTGGACCTCTCATGCTCCTCGTGGTGCGACTTCAGGTAGATGTTCAGCATGCTCATGCCCACTCTGGGGAGCGTGACAAAGTTGGTGAGGACCTTCCACGTGCGAGTTGAGCGCTTGTTGCCATGGGTGCCACCTGACATAGGCCAACCCATCTGTAGGTGGGACTGACCTAGATGCCTAGAAACCGTGGACCCGGCTGCAACGGCTACCATTTTCCTCCTGGATCACCAGAGCACCAGTTAAAGTCCCAGCTGCTCAATCTAGCTCCCTGGAAAAGGGGTCTCATCTAAATTGAACTTACACCGTAACCATTATAGTTAAGAACTGATTTGAAAGTCAAGAGTTACTGAGAAGGAGAGCCAGAGGCAGAGAGAGAGGTATCGTCCATCTGCTGGTTCACTCCACAAATGGCTACAATGGCTAGAGCTGGACTGATCCGAAGCCAGGAGCCAGGAACTTCTTCCAGGTCTCTCTTGCAGGTGCAAGGGCCCAAGAACTTGGGCCATCTTCCACTGCTTCCCAGGCACGTTAACAGAGTTGGATAGAAGAGGAGCAACTGGGATACTGGCATCCATATGGGATGCTGGTGCTGCATGTGGAGGCTTAGCCTACTATGCTACAGCGTTGGCCCTGGATTTGTATGTTTTTAAAACACAAGCATCGGTTGTAAAATTTATCTGGTTTACCTCGTGGATGAAAATGTTATCCATTCTCTGAGAAAAGCAATCTTAGAGTCCTTGCTGACAACAACCATGTTTTCATAGGACACCTTTGCAGTTTGATCAAACTGATAAAATGCTTAGCTGTTTCTGTTGGGCTCATTGTTTCTAAGACAGCTGAACTTTTCTCTGGAAGGTATCAAACAAGCATAAAGATTATTTTTAATTCCATCAACTTATATGAATTTTCACCAGGGACTTACTCTGACTCTAGTTAACAGTGTCTTCTGATTGTTTGATGTGAGTTTTGTTTTCTTTCTGAAAATTATCTCTTTTGGTTCCATTGTTTAATAAGCCCCAAGCACTTTCATTCCTTCATTATGATAGATAAGTTCCTGAGCCTGACATTCAATTTTTTTTTAAGATTTATTTTTATTTATTTGAAAGAGTTACAGAGAGCAGGGGAGAGAGGAAGATCTACTGGCTCACTCCTCAAATAGCCACAAATGACCAGGCCAAAGCCAGAAGCCGGAAGCTTCATCTGGGTCTCCCACGTGGATGCAGGGGCCCAAGGACTTGAGCCATCTTCCTCTTCTCTCCCAGGAGCATTGGCAGGGAGCTGGATCAGAAGTACAACAGCTGGGACTTGAACTGGTGCCCATAGGGAATGCCAGTGATTGCAGGCGGTGGCCAGGATGCCAGCCCCCAACGTTCAGTTCTGCGTGAGCTGTTCTCTGAGTCACAATCCTGGTGAATATTAATCAATGTTACGCAGTGTTTAAAAAGGTCATCTGTTATCCTTACAGTCCTAGAAACACTGACTTCGGGGGTGTGAGTTCTGTCTTTTATTTTTGGCTAACTTTTCACAGATTAAGATTATTTTGGCTTCTGAAATACCTGTTTTTACATTATAGTTTTTCTCAAGCTACAGGGTTTCTTTCAAGTTCATTTTTTCCCCACTGGTTTTTTTGGTAGGTTCTCCAGATCTCTTCCCTCATGAATTACAGGACAACTTAACTTTTATCAGTCATTGGTACTTAAAGTTTTTTTAAAAAAATTTTTTTAGTAGATAAGCTTTATTTTTCATAAGCTCCATCAATATCAAGGTACAGCTGCAAGGGATAACAGCAATCATCTACATAATTCATAAAAAACTGAGGGTACTAGGAATTTAACTATGTGAATACAGTCTTTTTACATTTTTAAGTGAAGAAAAATGGGCTTTTTTAAGACTTACTAAGATTAGGAAACAAAATGAAGTCAAAGGAGCCCAATCAGGACTAGCAAAGCTGTGTTTGTTCAGAGTAAGCAGGAGCATGGTGTGGTGCAGAAGGGCTCTCTGATGTGGCTGTGCTGGCCATTTTCCCACGGAAGCTTTGAGTAGCAGTTTCAGAATACTCTCATAATTTACAGATGTCATTATTTGGCCCTGCACAAAGTCAGCAAGTAAAAAAAAAAAGTATTTAAAAAAAAGTTGCTATGACCTTTGGTCTTGACTGGTCTGCTTTTGCTTTAACTGTACCAGTTCCACCTCTTGGTAGTCACTGCTTGATTGTGCTTTGTCTTCAGGTTAGTACGGGTAAAGCCATTTTATCTCCTGTTACAATTCTAAGAAATACTTCAGGATCTTGATCTCATTTAAAATTTTCTTTGCATGCTCTGCTCTTGTTTGCAGCTGAGCTGGGCCCAACCACCTAGGGACCCATCGATCAGATAGCTTGCTCAACTTTAAAGTAAAAAGTTTGTAAGCGGAAGTTTCCTTCCTTCCTTCCTTCTTCTTTCTCTTTCTCTTTCTCTTTCTCTTTCTCTTTCTCTTTCTCTTTCTCTTTCTCTTTCTCTTTCTCTTTTGACAGGCAGAGACAGTGAGAGAGAGAAAGAGACAGAGAGAAAGGTCTTCCTTTCCATTGGTTCACCCCCCAAATGGCCGCCACCCTGCATCGATCCGGAGCCAGGTGCTTCTCCTGGTCTCCCATGGGGTGCAGGGCCCAAGCACTTGGGCCATCCTCCACTGCCCTCCCAGGTCACAGCAAAGAGCTGGACAGGAAGAGGAGCAACTGGGACAGAATCTGGCGCCCCAACCGGGACTAGAACCCTGGGTGCTGGCGCCGCAAGGCGGAGGATTAGCCAAGTGAGTCGCGGCGCTGGCCCAGAAGTTTCATTTCTTAGCTGCTTTTCCCTTAGAACTCAAAGCTGCCCAGTTTGATTTCTTTAAGCTCTTTTGAATGATGATCTATCAGTTATTAACTAATATTTTAGACATCATTGATTTCCTCCTTATGGAGGATGAGGAGGATATAACTCACTTCTACATCTACTTTCCTTTCTGTAGCCTTTCTGTTGTAATGATATGTTTGGTTAAGCTTAGGTTATTTACTTAAGACTATGTAGAGATTGTTGAGTGTTGGCTATGTTCATTTATTTTCTTATATAATTTTTAAATTTTGTCTAGAATCAGTAGTTGCTTCTTTATTACTTTCTTAGGTTGAGTGTTTACTGCTGATTGGTCCAGATGTTCCTGCATATCCTTCAAATATGTTGTAGTATCTATGTGATATCTATGATAATGTGTAATATATTAGTTCAGGAGTCTATAAGGTGGTAGACCTAGTGTCAGAGAGTTATGCAGGCACAGAGAAATGTGATGGTAGCTACAAAAACAAAGTTAAGTGATGTGGTTTTTAGAAGTTTCACAACGTGGATTGTTTGCTCATGGAAACAAGTTAACAAAAAAGGAAAACTTGGTGCTGTGGGAGGGATACTAGAGTGGGTGAGAGGGAATGATGGTGGTATTGGCCTTTGGATTGTGTGGATAGTTCATAGAAACAGGAGGAAAGGAGAGGGGACTGACATCTATACATGCAAGAGGCTCCTTACTATGGTGGGAACTTGTAGAAGTTCTCATCTGAGTACATGCTTTATTTTGGTAAAATAGAAAGCAAGATCATCAGCCAAAGGTGTTAGTATTGAGACAGGTATTAGAGATCTAGGGTAAAAGTAATAACCAAGCAGATAGGAGAAGGAGGAGACTAGAGGACTGTAGTAAATTATCAGGCAGCCTGAAGGCTCTCCTTAGGTCAGTGGGCAGGCATTCAGAGTGGGGAGAGTTGTAATGGCTGTGTGTTTCTCTCTCTGTCTCTGATTCTCTGCCTTTCAAATAAATACATTTGTTTCAAAAACAAACATCAAAAAAAGAGGTACTTAAAATATATGTTAATTCATAAAAAAACCTATTACATGTTAACATAAATAGCACTTTTGTGAAAAGTATCTATTTTCCAAAAGAAATTATTGAGGAAAGTGACATTGTTTTAATTTTTTTGAAATCTCCTTAATGTCTGGCTTATTAGAAGTTATCTGTCATATCTGATCTATACCCAGCCCATTTTGGTTGTCATTTTAGTTGAGGTATTTGCAGAATTATCTAGCTAGAAAAGGGACGAATATCTATCTTAATACTCTCTATAGATTGCGTGGATCTTATTGTTTGATACTATACCAAAATTCAGTAAGTAGTAGTTTCTTGGGGTTGAGGGACAGTGATTAATTGAACTTGTACTTAAAACAACTGTAGTAGGCCGGTGCTGCGGCTCACTAGGCTAATCCTCCGCCTGCGGCGCTAGCACACCGGGTTCTAGTCCCGGTCAGGGCGCCAGATTCTGTCCCAGTTGCCCCTCTTCCAGGCCAGCTCTCTGCTGTGGTCCAGGAGGGCAGTGGAGGATGGCCCAAGTGCTTGGGCCCTGCACCCCATGGGAGACCAGGAGAAGCACCTGGCTCCTGCCTTCAGATCAGCGTGGTGCTCCGGCCGCGGCGGCCATTGGAGGGTGAACCAACGGCTAAAGGAAGACCTTTCTCTCTCTCTCTCTCTCTCTCACTGTCCACTCTGCCTGTCAAAAAAACAAAAAACAAACAAACAAAAAAAACAAAACAAAAAAACACTGTAGTGACTGACAAAAAAGTTAATTATGAAGACAATTTGCCTTGGTTGAAGATTAATAGTGGATTTAGAAGTGAGCAAACAGAAGGGTGAAGGAAACCCTTAGTATTCTGGTAATAGACTTAACTAAAAAGCAGAGATGATCAGCATGCTTTTAATATGACCTGTAGAACAGTTAATATGCAGGGGGAATAAATCCATATAAACCCAAATCCTACAAATTAGAAGTGACTTAATTACACAGATATGAGTACTTATTTGTTATAATAAAATACAGTTAAATTTGCAGTTTTAACCACTTGTAAGCACAGTTCAGTGACGTGAGACACATTTTTAAAAGATTTATTTATTTGAAAGAGTTAGAGAGATCCTCCATCCACTAGTTCACTCCCCAAATGGCTGCAATGGCTGGAGTTGGGCAAATCCGAAGCCAGGAGCCAGGAGCTTCTTCTGGGTCTCCCATGTGGGTGCAGGGCCCAAGGACTTGGACCATCTTCTGCTGCTTTCCCAGGCCACAGCAGAGAGCTGGATCAAAGTGGGATGCTGATGCTGCAGGCTGGGGCTTTAACCCACTGCGCCACAGTGCCAACCCCCATTAAACACATCTGCATTGTTGTACAACCATGGTCACTATTTTTGGGGGATTTTATATTTATAAACTTATCTACTCAATAAAATCTATAGTCCCAAAATAAGTAAAATGCTTTTGCAGTAATTTTTGAACACGTGCAGAGTGGTGGAATATGTTCCTG